TACTCCCATGATGTGCTCAAGGCTTACCTGCTTGAAGTATGTTTTTATATTTCATTTTCAGCTGCTGCCATGTTCTTTTGATGCCTGCAGGATTGCACCTATCCATGAAAACTAAATTAGGTTTAATAAAATACTGTTCTTCCAGTTTCACCTCTGATATTATAACAGTTGGGTAAGTTACTCTAAAATGGTTCTTAATTACTAACTACAAATTTTATCTTCAACAAGTCTAATTAGATTAATGTAATAATTACTGTCTCTAGAAAGTATTGGTCTACTTACTAATTTGTTTTACTTATTAATTACTTTCTAAATCCCAAATCAACCTCAACCACTTGAACAATACAAGGAGAGACAAGAAACTGCACCTCTAATGCTTTCAAATAAACAATATTCAATTGCATTAATTAATCTTAAATTGACCAAAGTGTGTAACTAGAGGGAGAAAGTTCAAATCAAAATATACCTTTTAAAAATTTGATATTAAATCCACTATTTTTTTATAGTCTTTAATTTAATTACAGTATTTATATGACTTAAGTAACTTAATTCATTACACCCAACACTGTATAAAAGTAATTAAAATGTAAACTTACGCATTGACTCGAGCAGCTATTTTCACCCAAGCTAACTCTCTCTCCTTCGCCGCTGCAGCCGTGTTGCTTTTTTTTTTTTAAATACATGTTCAAATTCTGCATATGCTTGCATAAGCACATCCAGTTCTGCTGGTGACAAATATGCACACCTTTTTTTGTCTGACGCTGTTGCCATGGTGACTCGTAATATCTGTGCTCCATTGATAATGGCTTTTTATAGTTGTGGTGCACGCGCTTAACTCAGAGTCAGTCAATTTAGAGTTGATTGAACTAACTCATTTCAGCTGTTCTGAAATCCAAAACTCAGAGTTTCCAATCTCAGGATAAGTCAACTGAGAGTTCAAGTTTTAACTCAGAGTTGGTTGAACTTCCTTATTGAAACAGGCCCATGGTGTCAAATTGTAATCACAAACAATAATACATTTAGGGAAAGCAGAGATTAGGGATCTGGAGCTAACAAATCATCTCTATGTCATGTGTTTGTTCTGCCCAGCCACTGAAACAGGTGAGTCCAATCTGCACAGGTTAATTCACTCTACAGATTGGACTCATCTAGTTCAGTGCCTGAGCAGAATAAACACATGAGATGACTTTTTGGATCCAATTCCCCATCTCTGAGGGAAAGTATAGATTGTGGAGTGTTCTGATTCTTGATCTTTATGTTGGTGTTTGAGAAAAAACGTACTACAGGAGCATTTTTTCCTTATCCTGTTTTATTGACGGGATGCACAGTGGAACAGTGGGCAGCACTGCTGACTTACAGCAAGAAGGTTCCAGGTTTTATTCCTGGCCTGGGTCTTCCTGCATCGAGTTTGCATGTTCTCCCTGTGCATGCATGGGTTCTCTCCGAGTATTCTGGATTTCTCGCACAGTCCAAAAACATGACTTTTTGGTTAATTGTCTTCTTTAAATTCTTCTTAGGTGTGAGTGTGTGTGTGATTGGTTGTTTTTCTTTGTGTTGCCCTACGATAGAATAGCAATCTGTCCAGGGTGTAACCTGACTCTCGCCTGTAAATAGCTGGAGATAGGCACCAGCATCCCTGGTGACCCCAGCAGGGATAAGTGTGATGGAAAATGTTTTATCTCCTATTTCTTTTAGTATAAATTTTTCCATCGCTGTTTATTTGTGTGAATTTTGAATTACTGCTTTAGAACTTGATGGAAACAACAAGATTTGATTCAACCAACTAAATTTAGCAAAGATTTTTTCTAGCTTGGGGTGTTTTTTCAAAATAGAGTAAATGTCCTACAGAAATGGAATCCCATTTATCAAATAATTTCTGAAAAAAAACCTACATTTACCTCACAAGACTGATCTGTTGTTTTTTCTGACGCATTCCTGAATACAAGTATTAGAGTTGCACTTGTCTTTCGGGGTGGTATGTATCACTAATACGAGCTGAGATGAGAAAATTAACTTGCCCAATTGCAGCACGTTCATCACTGATATGTTGTCCTCACTGGTTTGCTACCTCTGCTGTTTGTTCCAGCCAAGTGTAGCATCATCATTTGACTACATTACGCTGAATTTACATTTTTCTTTGTTCAATATTTAAAAGTTCTGTCAAAATTTGCATGCATATTGGATGGAAACAGAGCTAGGGCTACCATCTAAAAACCAGCCATCACAGCAGGTCTCCTCACCCAATTGTTCATGTTTGCCCTTGCAGACTTTGATCCAAGCTCCCTCCCTGACCAAGTCTCCTCTCCTTTCCCTCTCATCTTCACCTTACCCCACCTGGATGGTAGGCTGTGAGTGGTACAGTGATAAATTTAGTTATCATTTTAATCAGGCCTTCTGATGAAATAATCGCAACAGTGACCTTCCAGCAGCCACACTTAAGCTTTTGTAAATTTGGCTGAATCTGACCAGTTTGGTGAAAAAAGTTGTTCTGTTCTGGCTATTTTCAAAGTTGTTGGTGGTGAACTGGCAGGTACTGTAGGTCGGATTCATGTTGTCTTGTCTGGATTTTTCCAACATGCATAAACCTCAGAGCTGTGCTGGAGTCAAACATTAATCAGGAATGTCACCAACTCAGAAAGTTTCTGCACCTCAAAATTTCACAAGTGAGAAGCAAACAGTTTTTAGAAAAAGCCTTGATAAGCTGTAGAGTGTTGTTCTTGCGCTTTTTGCCTTTGACTCTAAGAGGCAGGTTTTGCTTTGTGATATGGAGTGTTGACATAGGACTATTCATGGTTGTCATCAGAAAGTTTTCATTTTAAAAAGCCACCTGTCTGTAAAAAAATGCTCAACAGAGAAAATTGAAATGGGAGACTGTGTCTGCTTCTCCACTCTGACAGCATGTCATTTTCACCAGCAGCCTGCCATTACCTGGAGTGTTTGGCAATCTTCTGGCTGCAGAGGTCCACCTTGTAAATGTGGAATGTGAAATTAGAATCCAGTTATCAGCTGCTGTTGTAAACAGTTTACCCTCACCTTCCTAAACCCACCCACCCATCCCTCTCTTCTATGTTTTCATAGCAGGATGATGCTCTACCTGCAGGGCTGCTTTATGCATGTTATCATACCTCTTTTGCTGAGCTTCTGTAGGTCAAGAAAAGCCTGGAAGGTGCAGCAGAAAATCTTTGATCGCTCTGTTGAAAAAATAAATAAAACGACCTTGAGTGTCACCACCAGTGACTCACATATTGCCTCAGTTACTGTCACTCTTGTCCAGATTCTCTTCTAAGTCTGTACAGCGGTATAGAGATTGTAAGGTAATCCCTAAATACAGAAATAAAAAAACACAATTTTTTTATAAACTATAAATAAATGGCCTGCTGTAAGATATTAGGTCAAATCAGGTGCTATAGTATGTGTTACGTATCCAAAGCACATGTAGAGTAAACATGTGTTTTAAGTATATTGTGGTAAAATGCCAAATGGAATAACTAATAAAAAGACGAATCACACTTCCACTATCTGTCACTTCCACTCAGCAGCCCAGATATCTTTATACACCTAATTCCAGATCTGATATTATTTCTTCAATAAAAAATACAAAAATTTGAATAGGATATTACCAATATAAGTCTCTGCGAAAGCTTTTGTATTAATGATGATTAAAATCTAAACGGGGTTTACTGGGCAGTGTCAGGGTTCTGCCCTCTGTTTAGGTTTATTTTTGTAATTCTCTGTCTTGGTAGTTGTTTTCTGGCCATTTTGTGTTTTTCAGTTACTCTCTGTTGCCCCTTTGTGCCTGTTTCCTTTCCCCTTGGCTCCCTTCTAGTTACGTCTATCTACACCTGCTCATTAGCCCATTTTTTGTTCTCTTCCCCATATATACGCCACCTCTGCAGTTCTTCATTGCTTCTTTTTGTTTTGTTGTTACTTGACTCCCTACACGTGTGTCTCCTTGGCATCACATCTTCTGATTTTTTTGGTTTCTAGTATTTTTGGATTTTTGCCCCTGTTTGCCTCTGGATCTTTCATTTAATCAGCAAAATTCATCTCTGCCTCATCATCTCTGCATTTGGGTCCTCAAAAACCTCCAACAAACCCTGACAGGCAGGTTAAGTAGTCCAGTATCAGCATCTTTTGGATGTGTAACAGTTACATTTTCTTTATAGTGCACCGAAGAAACCATTAAATAATACAAATGTATGAATTGATCATTGTAGTGTAAGACCATATTTGAAAGTCATTCTTAATTCTAAGAATTCACATTTTAACAGTGAATAAAATTGTTTTTGAGAAATCCCGTCATTAAATTTTTCTATTTATTGAGTTCTGGCCCTCTTAGGGACTAAATACTGCCCTCCAGATCTGAGTTCTATATGGTGTTAATTCTGGGAAAAAGAAAAACACACCAGACATTATTACTGCGGCTCCAATCGTTACAGAATGGATTACATAATGGACTGAAAGTGCATTTCTAAGTCTCTTTAATTGATTCAGGCTAATAATGCTTGTCTTGTCCAAATGAGGGATTATTCAGAGGCAGAGAACAGTAGTTATGGATGAAGGAAGTGTCTCAGATCACAAAAGTCTGATCCATAAAATCCTACTTGTGGGAAAAGGACACACACAGAGGCTGCAGGAGGCAATGGACAAATTCATCTTTTTTTGGACAGAAATCAACAACAAAAAAAACATATTAGAAATATATTGCCCATCTTCTAAAATCTCAGGTATAAGGAATAGAGACATTTTGCCTCTATACCCTTCTGTTTATTGTCATTGCAACCCATTGATCAGGAATACACTGTTGTTCTCTGTTTGTTATATCTCTTGATCAATTTCAATATTGATCTATGCTGAAATCATATTGATGATGTTGATAATGGTATCGGTCAATTCTTATGGCTGCATTATCAATATCATATTGGACATGAAAAAGTTATGTGGAGCCATCTCTAGCTTTAATGAACTCCCCTTTTTATATTTGTATTTATTTTTTGCAGCTGTCCAGTCTCTAAACAGCCTGAATGACCAGATTGCTCAGTTCATGGTGACCCGACCTTGTAATCTCGCTGATGAGGAGGAGGCCTTCATCCCAGGAGAGAGGGATACTCTCAGGAAGTCCATGGCACTGATGAGACACCTGCTTATGGACGCTCAGGTACCAAACGTTTCCTAGCAAGACTAATTGTTATCTGGACCTGTAGTACCTGTCCTAAGGATGTAATTATGCACATGTCTTTCACCCTAGAATAATCATCTGATCTTTGAGCTCGCTGTAGGATCTACTGAAATCACAATCTCACATTTCTATCTTAAAATGTAACTCCAAAGTACAAATTTCAAAATGCTGAAATATGTGATAATACTAAAGAATTAGTAGTCCACAACTATGTACTCTAAGCCAAACTTGTTTTTCAATAATTGTTCTGTTTTTTTTTTTTTTTTTTTTTTTTTCCGGGGGGGCACTTTGTACCTATCCCCATGTTTTCCTTTTCAGCTAATTCTTAAACTGAACAAAAACAAAAATCCGCTCAAACAGCATAACACTGCCAATAATGTTTATAGGCAGTTTCACCACATTTGAATTAGGTCCTATGAATATTGCTCTGAGGAAAATAGATTGATTTGTACACAATTACATTTTTTGCAATTTTAAAACAGCAGAGATGTTTTGATCAGTCAGAAAATGAAATATCTTCCAGAGATGTTAATTTTAACACTGTAAGAAGATAAAGAAAGAAATGAAGAATCCTAATAAAGATGAAAACACTGTTTTCAATATATATACATGATGACAGAAGGACATGTCTATAGTCAGAAAAAACCCATAGTTCTGTTAATAGGTGCAATGAATTTCTCATTGTAGTTTGTATTTGCAGCACCTACATGTTGGATTTTTTTAGTCTCATATTTTTTAATTTAATTCAAAACTTCAGTTCAAAGTTCAGTTAAAAAGTACCTTCCCTTGATCTTGTGCAAAAAGGGGGCGTATTCAGTAAGGAAAATGTTTACTTAAATATACATATATAGATAATATACATAGACTTAGCGTGCAAATACAGCAATTGGAGAAATGTGCAAAAACAGAACAAATTGAAACTTGGTGAATTTCTTTACGAGAAGGCAAAACATTTTCCCCAGGCAGATAAAAAATATTATAGTGGCTCTAAAAAAATAATTGCTTTGTGGTTTTGACTACAAAGTTATTAACTAAGTTTCTATTTCTTTTCTTATTCTATGCTTCATGTTTTAGAAGTTAATGTTACTATTTCATGGTAATATTTTTTTTGTTTATTGAGTATAAACATTAAAAGCATAAAATTTTCTTTATCCTTATATGCTTCTTGCAAAGATTTTATTTTGAAAACTTCCTTGGACTCAATTACTGCAAAAGCTTTTTCTCCATTTCCCACAACAAAGCAAGTCTAGCTCTATGAGATATTTGCCAGTCTGAGTAAAGTGATGAAGAACTTGATGTTGAACTGTGTGATGTTATTTTCTAATCCTCCTCCGTGTTCTCTGTTTCCAGCTGCTTTGAAGCAGCTCTAATGGTCTCACAGACTAAACAGAAACGAGCTTAAAGACAAACCTTTCCAAAGTAATAACTTTTAATCTCGCTGCTCGCTCTGGACTGCATTTTGAAAAATGTATGAATCTTCACCTTTTCTTTTTGTACCTTTAAAGCACATGTGCAGGTAATAATACTTTACAGAGCAAACGCAAGACACACAAAAACTAAAAGAGTATACAAAATAATTGCAAAAAGCACTAGGGGCCCATTAGTGCTGGGTTGCATAACATCATGTTACCCAAAGCAATGAAAGAAAAATAGTAAAGGATTTTAGGTACAGTACACTTACTTAAGTGAAAAGACAACGAGAACAAGAAAGATAATGTTCCTTCCTCCACCTCTAGTTTTAAAGACCATAAATTAACTCATGTCTGGCTCTTATGTGGTTTTTCTACTGAAGAGTAGAGAGTCGTGGAAAAGCATTAAACCAGTGTTGCTGTTACACTGTAAACCCAATCAATTAGAGCTTTTTTCATTTTGAAATGACACACTCAACTTTTTGGATATATACTTACCTGTGCCATGATAAACAATACTTTGTTTGTCCCCTTGATGCCTATTGTTGCTAATAAGCAGCAAACCCTTTATATTACGTACATATATATATATATATATATATATATATCCCAAATTCTACTCTTTTTCTTTTATTCAATATATGTCACAATATTTGTTTATGTTGTGGTAAATGCTGCTGACGTTGGAAATTGATTTTAAATCAGAGCACATTACCAGCAAACATGTTATTTGAAGCAACCATAGTGATTAAGAAGGACCTAACAAATTAGGATCTAGAGACTAAAAATTTGATTAATTAATTTCTACATATTTAACAGAATCTTAGCTTTTTTTGCAAAGAGGAATTCAGACATTTTTCAGTCTCTTCAAATTTCAAACATGCACAGCTGGTTGAAACCCTCACCAAATTAGGTTGTACTAAGTATTTATTCAGGGATAATACATACAACAGTTTAAATTCATTTTCAAAATTAACGTTAATATAACATTAAGCGTTAATAAAAGTTTAACTTGCTCTTAGAAATTAAGTCTGTGACTGTAAGAGGAAAGAAATATGCAAAAAATGTTTAGAGGTTCAGAGACTTTATAAGCCACGGAGAAACCGTTGCCCAGGGTGATTTGATTGCTCATGAACAGCTGAATGTTCCTGAAGAGTAAATAAAAACATGTCTCTCAAGAAATAAAGAAATAAAGCTATTTTAGGAGGCTATATGCACCTGTGTACAGTGCCTTAAAGAATATTTTCTTCTACACCTTTTTATTTTACTTATAAAGTTATCTATTTATTCAGTAGGGCATATAAAACATTCCTTCATTCATACATCCGAAATATTGATTGAAGTGTCCCTCCTCCCTGCTTTGCTATGGATGAGATTGTAATCGATCAGCGGGGAGCGACTCTCATTTGTCATTTTATTTTAACTTCCTTCTACTTCTTGAAGAATGCTAAATAAATCCTGACACACTGATTCAATTGTGCCTTCTATGAGCACCGTCGGCAACTTGGATGATGGATGCGGAGTCCTGGTGACGTTCTCCTGGAGATATTTTCTCAGATGTAGTGTCATTGATTAAAGGGAAGGTAATTCAGCAAAAGGCCATTGCTTTCACCTCGGCTCGGTCGTATGGGAGCTCAAGTGAAAGATTATTAGCCTGCAGTCTGTTCCTCCTGTTAGTCAAGGAGTATCAGTAGCATTGGGTGGTGATGGATAAGCAGGAAAGCCAGCTATGGACAGAGCGCATAAGTTGTACTATTTGGGATAAAAGTCAAAGTGAAGGCACCTGTCAGATTGACAGCTTTCCCTGCCTGTTAGGTTTGTTGGTGTCAGATTGCACACCTACTGCCTTTTTTTTGGTTTTGTAGTTTTTACATCGATGAGGCGACAGGGATGGCTCTGTTAGCCTGAGGCTTATCGCTCTCAACTGACAGAGGGTGAAAAAATATCATCATAAGATTCTGACCTGTGTCTGCTATACGCCTACTAACATTACCAAATGACAGAACTGTTACAATGTTCATAAATACATATTATGGAATGAATAACAATCCGATCCAATCCGTGTACATAATCACACATTAGGACAGTATAAAAATCTTGAATCAAAACCTTTTCTGTGATTCTTGTCAAATATGTTAGGTTAGATATGTGCTTAATGTTACTTATTATAAAGGCTTATTATTAAAAGCCAAACACAACCTAAATGAAAAGGAGTATTAGTTTTTTAAGTATTTTAATTACATTTTTAATTTAATGGTTAAAAATGATCAAAACGCTCTAACATTAAGCTGGTTTGTGCTGCAGCTTCATTCCAGCAGATCTGTTTTCCCTTTCTCAATAAAGCTCTGTGAAATGGAAATTAAAATAATACATGCTTTCATCTATTTTTAATCATTAATTCATGTCTGCATTCCTACCCAAAAGGCTTATAAGATGCCTTTAAGTTTTTTTGATTCTTCTTTTTTTAGATGAATTACGGTACTCACAGGAAAGGCCTACTTATCACGCAAAACTGTATCATGATCACTTGGAGCAAATGATGGAGCAACTAAACCCTCACTTGGACAATAGGTTTTTAAATCTAAAGAAAAAGTCTGAATTTAAGTTTAAGAACAAGTTTAGAATGATTCCAGGCAGGACAGGCATTGCTAGTATTCTACACTTTCCACAAATGAAAGGAATCCTTTCAGAAATGCAAACCTTTCATATGTGGTTAGAGTCTTGGAATTTTGGTCATTGTCTGGTCTAATTTGTGACGCCCTGACATGCAGTTATGACACAGGTTCAATATTTAAAGGTAAACTGTGAGATTTTGCTTGATCTGTAGTAATGTGAAGAATTCAGCAGGAATTATGAAAATATATTTTGAATGTTAGGAATCATTCGACCATATGACGAATACACCTAAGAATTCGGCACAATTACATTTCAACTCTGTTTTTTTTTTTTTTTTTACATTTTGTGGGCGTTTCCAATAAGAACTGAGGTACGTAAAAGAAGACAGCTTTTAAAAGGGGAATCTCTTGGTTGTCCGTGTGCTGGCCTGGCTGGCACCACCCTAGACTCTAATGCAGGGGTCTTCCACCTTTTCCAGGCCGAGGTCCCCCAAACTGATGGCGAGATGGAGCGGGGACCCCCTAATTATGTATATTGTATGAAACACCTCTATTACATATGGAGTCATGTAATGAAAGTAATTTCTCCCTGGGAGAGGGAGAAAGGTGTTCCAAAACCTGGTGGACCTGTAGCGAATGGGGAGGAGCCCTTTCCCAGAGGACGGAGGGGTGTTACAGGCTCGGGACGAGATGAGATGTCCTACATGGAGGGAACAATGACTTCAATTTCCTTCTTCTCTTGAGGGGTCATATTCGAGTACATTCAAGTACATTCTCATTCCATGTTGAGGACGAGCTCTTGTCATAGAGAGGGGATGGTGTTCATGAAGAGTCATGTATCTGCTGTCAGATGGAGTCTGAACATGTGTTCACAGTATCCCACATTTTGTGCTGCATCTAACTTCTGGAGCCTTTTACAGTGGAATTAAAGGAATAAAAAAAAGAGGGATTTCCT